GCTCCACCTTGCTGTCTAACCTGTTACCCCTCTATCATGCCTGCTGTCATGCCTCAAATTGTAGGACCCGGATTGCAGCATTTGCATTCAATAGGAGACCCTGCAGCCAAAACCCGCCATAGAGGAACCTCCAACAGTAGTTCCAAGTCTAGTAGTCTACACAGACCTCTCCGCCATTGTTTCTCGCGACCCCACATAGACGTCCAGTACTCCAAAGCAACCCTGCATTGAAGGAAAGATCACACATTTCCACCCACACCTGTCAAGGCTGCTAGGCTCCAGCCAGGGCCTTCTCCTTCGGCTTCTGCTTTACAGGTGCCGCCGCCGGCTCCTTCCCAACGGCAATTTGTGGTGTCGTACTTTCATGCCACGCGTGCATACGTGCACGGAATGAGGATCTGAGGTGGATGCACATAGCATGCGAGTATAAAGAGATGTACAAGAGAACATACATGATTCCAGTCTCTACTCCCCAAGACGCTGAATCCTAATCCCTAAACGCTTCTGAGCCCTGAGCCCATGTCGCTACTCTCATTCTTTAATCATCAGAGCATCGGAATTGGCGTTGAGAAAAGTAGCTGCTTCCATAGGCCAGTGAAGAGTCGCAAGAAGGTGGCCAGCATTGAGGCCAACAGACCAATATTCATGAAGAGCATTCGCATTCGAGGCTACAAGTACGAATACATATACATACAGTGGCTCTCATGATTACTGCTAAGGGGCCCGATCTAGTTCTTTCAATATATATATATATACACACACATAAATATATATATATACATATGCATATACATATATACATACAAACATGTCTATATATATATATATATACCTCTCCCTCTCTCTCCCTTGCCTATCGATTGATCATTGTTCCTCCGCGGAATGTTCATTTCCGTGGGGGAAGGAGAGTGCATTTTGATGTTAGGGGGAAGCGCTTACCGAGTAGTGGGTAGTTCTAGAAGAATCAGGCAAAACAAAGGGGCGTTTCATCCTTACATAATCCCTTGAGTCTACCGTTCAACCGTTGAATGCCTTACTTCTACGCTCTGACACTGCAGCCGTGAAGGCCTCCAGCATGCCCAGTTTCGCCGCCTCGCTGGTTAGACGCTTGGTTCGGTAATGCAGGCTTGGAGTCCAGACGAATTTAGGGTGTGTGTTCAGCGACGATAAAGACACAACAGTGTTGACAATGTTTTTGCCCCTAAATGGTGCTCCTTGTAGAAAGAAACTGAGAACGATTGTAATGAGGGTCTTGATGAGACTGTTTCAGAATGATAGAAATCCTGCAGGATCAAGGATTGAGGCTTCAGAGGCAAGAAGCATCGTGGTACTGGGGATCCCCTGCTCCAGGACTCCTTGCAAAGGTCTTCTGTGATTTGACGACTTTTCCTGAGCACAGGACCCCTACTGTAACCCTAGAGCTCTGAGGCTTTAACCTCATTACCCCAAAACGCAAAGCAATAGCTCATAACCTTCAAGCCGATGCCCATCACTGCTCCAAAATGGATCGGAGCCTCGGCCATAACCGCAGCCTCAGCGAAACACGTTGGAATTAGCATTTGGAGGGTGTGAGAGTGTGAGGCTTCATAAACGGTTTGGGCTTGGAGTGCCGGGATTGAGGAGCAAGGTTCCAGGCCTGGGTTGTAGAGACCAAGACGAAGATTTATTGCTTAGGGCTTAACGTTCAGGGCTTATACGGGCTGGGTGAGGATGAGGAATTGGGTTCAGGCGTTAAGGTTGCCCTGAGGGTGGTTCCTGCGAGGTCAGGGCTGCGCAAGTAGGATTCCAGGAGGCTCTTCAGCTTCTGTAAGCGATGGGGTCACGCTGGATCTAGGGTTTGAGTTTTCGGGCTTGGGGTTCTAGTTTGGTTGGGGCATGGAGTGTAGCGATTGGGATTTAGGCGGGGAGCAGCTGATGAGGAAGCTTTCCGGCTTTGCCGCACCCCGTGAATGAGGTGTACAATTTATGACTCTGTCTAAGCGGCAAAATGTAAGAAATCAGAGTGGGTGCCCTGAAAGGGTGCACCTGTAAATGGAGGATTCCTGAAGAAAAGGCATGCCCCAACCGCACACCTCTGTGCCCTCAATGCTGCACTACTTCTAGCCTGCAAAGCCTGTTTCTAATTCCTAAGTCACTTGGAGGAAGTTGTAGAGACTACCAGAAACGCAAGCGGCTCAAGACCAAAAGACCGTTGTTGATAATACATATAGACATGTAGACTACCTGAACCCAGAACCCTAAACATTTCGCTCTGTGGCGGGGGGCATGACGATCCGCGTTCGTCAGCTTCTTCTGCGGCTCAGCTCGTGCAGCTGGCGCCTCATCGCCTCTTCATATTAATGAGGGCTTGGGGTATAGGATTTCGGTTTGGGTTTTGTTGCAGCGCCCCTTTTCCGCCTCCGGCCTTGGAGTTTGAAGCTTAAGGTTTATGGCTTGGAGCTTTAGGACTTACTATAGCTTCTCAACCCATGCGTACCTTTTCAAAACTGGCATACATCACGGCTCAAGCTCATAGGCTCCATCTAGGCTGTGGTGTGGAGTTTCACGGTTTATGGGCGAGGTTTTTTGCTCTTGGGTTCCCAAGTAGAGAAGTAGGTGCACGTGGAGTAGAACATAAGCTTGGACCACATAGACTGCCAACGTCTATCAGCGCTTCTTCTTTCAAAAACTGATTGCGTTCGGAGATCCTAGTGGTTCATCTGTGGGAGGGCTACCGCAAGCGCACATGATACATGCGAAGTGTCATCTGACTTGGATAGGTAGGGCTCAAGATTTCGTGACTTCCAGTGCTGTGGCAAGCATTTTAGGCTTGTGGTATTCGAGGGTCACTGCCTAGCGTTTAAGTGGGTGGAGTCTAGGTTGGGGAGCCTGGGGCTTCTCAGGCGTTTCTAGCGGGTGATTTCCAAACTGGAACATTGCAGAACAGTGCCCGAACACCAGGGTCCCTCAAAGTAGCGTACATCCTGATTTCAACAGCTGCCTCTTATCACCAGGCTGCAGCTAAACAAATTCTCATTTGACCAATGTTCCAACATTGGGTCTAAGTCTGAAGCCTCAATTCAAAGACCTTCACCCTCTACACTCGTGCAGCCCGACCCCCATTCAGCCAAAACCGTGTAATCCAGACTCTACATCCTGAACCTTGTCTTATCCCTGCCCTAGAAACAGACCCACTCACCCTGTCACAAATGTGCCTACATAGTCGAATAATATTTAGTATTGAAATTTGAGAATGCTCATTACTAAGTTAACCGGATTACTTCAAACCACCAGAGCGCACATGAGCCGGCCTGAGTCGTTGAGCCGGCCGGAGTCGTGTCCACCGACGAGACTCACGGTTTTTGGGTTTAGGGCTTATGGGGTTTTGGACTTGGAACAACATGTGTTTTTCAGGACTAGGGCTACAGCGTTGAAAGTGCAGGGACTTGGAATCTATAGGGTTCTATAGGGGTTGATTGTGTACGGCGCAAGCAATCTGAGGCCGAAGGTTGCATGTAAGCGCACTAGCAGAGTTCCCCAGACATTTGCTGCCCATGTTCTTAGTCTTTCCCCCTCTTATAACATCTTATGCCTTCATGTTGGTTAGGAGGGCATGGAATGGCAGGGAATGGAGTAGGGGATCCTTATACATTAGTCGTCCCGATCAGGTTCCCTTTGATTGTCCCTACATTTCCTTCCTTCAAGCCCTACTGACCACGTACAGAGTAAGCTGCATGGCGCTACCCTCAAAACGAGGTCGGACGGATTCGACTTCTTCTTTAGCTGATGCAGGGTCATCTCAGGACCATTTTCCATATAAAGCACCACTCAGCTTGAGGTCGGATGCGATCACTTTAACTTGCACCGAGCAAACATCCCATACCGGACCTGAATGGAGAGCATCTGACGGTGATATCCACGCGTAACCTGCAGCCTTCATCCCAAACGCCCAACCCTGAACCTTGTCCCAAAGCCCACGAGTTGTCAAATCCGTCTAAACCCTTGACCCTCAATCTCAACTCGCAATTAATCCCAAAACGCAAAACCCAAATGACTGCATACCAAACTCTAAACACCAAACTTCGGCCCCAAACTCCAGATCCTAAGCCTTAAGTCCCACACCCCAAGCAGACTGCCCTGAAACACTGAAGCGCTAAACCCAAACCAAAACCCTAGACCTCTAGACACCATCCTTTATTCAGCCAAAGGCTGAGGCAAACGCCGGCCGAGGCCACTGAAGCCACTGAAGCCCCAAACCATGGCGACATTTAGGGAATGTTTGTGTTTGTTCAAAAGAGGCTTTGAGGGTTGTAAGGTGCAGAAAGGGCTTGGAAGTTTAGGCTTCTTCTGGCTCGCATTGGGTTTACAACTTAGGGTTGAGGGATTAGCATTTAGGTTTGGGTGTAGAGGAGGAAGTTTGGGGTTTGGCGCTTGCAGGTTTAGGGTTTAGGTTTAAAAGTGGCTCAAGGTCTTACACGACCATCAGATATGGCAACGGCAAGAAGTCTGAAAACCAAGGACGCTGAGAATTACAGACCCGGAGAGCTGCATAGGAACTATTGCCGACACAGGACACGTGTGCCTAAATGGCATCCATGATGCCTCGCAATTTCCGCTTTGGGGTCTGAAGCAGACATCTCCGAATCAGCGCTTTCCGCGGGCATGTAGTGCAGCCGGAAGAACATCGCCAAGCTAGACCCATGGCCAGTGAAGGACTTAGAACAATCTCCTTTCTGGTTCAATGCTTGGGCCCGTTTCCGCAGCCTCGCCCCTTGTCCTCCCTGTAGATTACCTAGACATCTGCTGTGGATCTAGAGGTTGTCCCAGACATGCTCTGGGGGCCCTCAGGTCCGCATTGAAGGAGTCATAGGATTTATTAAGCTCAAGAAGCAGAACTACTCAAATTAGAGGGGCGCTTTAAACACCCACTGACATGCAAGGAATAAACGCACGTATTACTGATCACACTGCTGCTGCGGCTCAAACTCTCACCAGAACGACCTTTCTGCAAGCTTTTGCTGCTAGCCTACGGTCTCAGCAGCCACTGTGGATCCACGACGCGCGGCGTAGGACATCGCCTTCCTCGGATGGAAGAGAAACTCTGCTTCGTATTTCGGGGCTTCAGGTTTGGAGTTCAGGCTAAGGGCGGGGGGTATCAAGGCATTTAATTGTTCTGTTATGCGTTCAGGATTCAGGGTTCAGAGTTAGGGGGCCTAACGATGTTTAAGGGTTGGGCAGGCTTAGAATTCTTGTTCCCTAGATGTGGGGGTGGGGCTAAAGTTTATGGCGCATCACAAGACCTGCATACACACGGATACGCGCCATGACAAAAGGAGGGTGAAAAACCCAGCAGCCTAATAGCCATTTCGAGAAGGTGGATCTCCTGGGTGTCTCAAGGACCTTCTATATCAGTGCTTTGGCCTGTTAGGTCAGACAGGGTTGATGATGAAGGGTTTCGCGTGAAATTCTAAGCAGAACCATGGGACGCGCGGCCCCACACTACCTCAAGTCCTAAGTAGTTGCCTTTAATCCTCCTTTACATTCAATTCCTATGAACTTCTGGGCCAAGCCAAATAAGGAGATTGTGGCTGAACTTAGAAGTTCTCAAAATGGTCGCTGTGCTATCCTTCAAGAGAACCCCTATAATCGCCTGCAGCCGATCATCATCCCAGAATTCCTTTACGTCCCAGCTGTCCCTAATGAACCCCATGTTTGAGAAATTGCTGTTTCCAGAAGGGATAAAATAAACGTTTCCCTGATACACTTCAAGACACTGTAATGGCCCTTACTCTATGGACTCCCAACACAGAACCTTCAATTTCCGGAAACCCCTAAAATCTCAGCACGCACCTGTACTCCGCGAAGGACAGGAACTTTGCGCCATCCCCGCTGAGCGCCTGGTGCATCTCGCTTGTGCGGTTCTCAATATTGCAACCCTGGATGCAGCAAACCTTGCACCACTAGGACCCCCTGTGATTCCAGGATTATGGAACCAAACGTACCTGGCTGCAGCTGGAGCTGAAACCCACCCAGGCCAGTAAAAGTTGCCAGTCTGCAGTCTACCCTGCATGCGCCTAAGGCATGATGTCGACACTGAAAATTTAGGACAGCCACTGTATCCCCCGATTAGCCCTACATAGCAACCGTTTGGTATGCCAAAACCATGTCAAGTTGTATAAGCTCTTGCATAGCTCCTGATCAAAAGACCAGGACTATACAATCATCGTCCACTTGCGTGACTTGCGTGTCCCAACCTTCCCGGCTCACAGAACCCATGCAGGCTTGCGTTTAAGGTTTTAAAGCCACTTTTGTAGACCCTGTTGCCGTTTGGGGGGTGTACCCTGTTGCGTCCAAGAGGCCATTGCACTTTGGCGTCGCCGACCGTATGACATTGTCTCGCGGTACCTGGCGGCGGAATCCATTCCAGCATCTGCAACAAGAATCCACCACTCTGACTGGGATGAATATGTAGCTTCAGCAAAAACTATCTGAATCGCCTCTTATTTAACACTGAAAGACTTTCATGGCTGTCCAAAATGTATAGTCGCTCATGTCAGTTTCGAATGAATACCTTCGGACTTCTTCTAGCTCCGCGACACAAAAACAACAGCAATAGGCTTCCTGGGCCGCATCCCTTGTAACAAGGCCTTCCTGCCTCTGTTGTGCTAGCACGGCCGCCCGGCGTTGCTTGTAGCCCTGGCATTACAGCACTCATGGTTGAGGCCTTAGACTCTGAGACTTAAGGCCTAGGGCTTGGAACTTGCTGTCACAGCTGAGATGCTGCCGTCGCAGGGTTTCTTGCTGAACCCAACCCTCGTAGTCACGAAGCCGAAGACTTCAGATGGCACTTCAGCCACGAGTGCTAGATTGAAATCTGGGGAATGAACTGCTTTAGGGTTTGGGGTTGAGGTTGCAGAAGCCATCCGAATCTTGTTCTGCTTAGGCGATTCTGGAAAAACATCCCTGTGCTACGTCTTCCATTTTGTTGGATTTCCGTTTCAACGCATGAGATGAGCCTCTTTCTGAGGCGTGCATGCATTGTCAGTGCAGGGAAATCATGAAGCCCTCCTCGGCCAATCGGGACATCGAGACGAAGTTCTAGCCTAAAGCCTACCTTAAAGGGTGGGATGACACTCCAAACCAGGTGCCAGTTCAGGCCTGCATTGGCAACCCATTTAACCTAGGAAAGGCACAAACTCTGGGTTTAAGGCGTGGGGCTTCTGGATCTATGGTTCATACACCGCAGCAAGGGCCTCAAAATTCTGTGAAACCCTCACATCCCTTTGCCACTGCTATCACCCATTACTGCTATCTAATTCCAGCCTAAGGGCCGACACCATTAACCCTAAGATCTACACACGATGCCCAAGGCTCCACTGCATTTCAACTTTAAAACAACCTTCCACCAAAGCACAAGGAAAAACAACCCTTATCCCCAAACCCTGAAACCTGAACCTGCAGCCCAGAACGCTGAAATGCAATCAACTCAAAACATCAAACACCCACCCCTAAGGCCCTGATGCCCCAAAACCTGAAACCTCCACAACAATCTAGTACCCAAAAACTGCAAGAAACACTAACCCTCAAACCCCAAAACGCCCCAACCATACACAGAATTCTGGAATCCCTTCCAAGGTCCCTGAAAAGCAACCCTTTTGCGGGTGCCTGCGTAGGCTCTTCAGACTCAGCCTCCCATTTTCCCAAACAAGCAGGAGAATGTGTTGGGTGTTAAGTGCTGGGTGCTTTAAGAACTTCAAGGCTTCTTCGGCCTATGGGGCCTAGGGCTTAGGGTTGATTTTTGCTCTTAGAGCCTGTATGTAGGTAGGGAGGCAGATGCACATGTACATGTAGATAGAAGGTATACATGGGTGACAATGCGAGGCCACATCAAAGGATGCTTCTTGGCATGCCAAGCCAAGGTGTTTGAGCTCCGCGTAACCGACACCATGGCATAGATGCCATGACATCGTGCTTTTAACCGGAAACCATATGTTCGCTCATGTCATCTTGTTCGCTATCCGGCTATCCATCATAAAACCTGATCCCACGGCAAAGATCCACTGTCATCGTCGAAGCACCCCAAGCATGTCACTGCCGGGTTCGGAAATTCCAGGTGTGGATTTCGGCTTTCGAGCTCAAGTCGGCGGAACATGACCTCGAATTCATTCGTGACGCGCTACACGCTGTGATAGATATTACAACTGCGTGCTTATCATACTCCTATGACCCATGGTTGTTGTGGGCCGTAGAAGCTTTCTACAAAGAATGTCTGAACCATAAGCCCTCCAGTTTGAACTCTGAACTCTAAACGACTCCAAACCTTACGACCTTGTTACAAAGCCTACACCCACACTTTGACCCAGGACGTCGCACCCTAAATTCAAACCCAAAACCGGCCCCAAGGTGTGGAGTTTGGAGGGATTACGAGTTAAATTGTAAACCACCTGTTGGAAATAAAAGAATCCCAAAACTCCTACACCCTGACGTCCAGAAGCATGCAGCAGTCAGTCCCTCCCCACACTCGCAACCCTCCGCAGCCTGGCCTGGGCTTGCAAGTCAGGGCCTCAGCAGTTCTAGCACATGTACGGATTTCCAATGTGGAGTTTAGGGAGTGAGCGAAGCCATAGCATGACACAGTTGGCATTTCAGCTTTGAGGGGTCAGGGCTTCTCAAGGTCAAGTAATTCCTACTCGTGGCACTGTTGTCTTGTACTACAAGGATGATGATAATGATGATGATGACGACGCTTAGTGCTGCTACCAAAATGGCAGCTGCAGCTCTTCTGACAATACCTTAGACCCTAACTGTTTGGCTCGGGGCTAGTGGGCAGGGGGCACTTCAGGACCGTTGCTTCGTCTACCAGATTGGGCTGGAGGTGTCCGTGTCTTTTGGTCTGCCTTATATATGTCCAGACAACACAAGTCTCTGCTATTTGGACTTCTACATCCCGATGCTGTCCAGTTGCGCTGGGACACCGCAGACACGTAGGAGGCGCTGGACTCCACGGATGACCTGGGAACATCTTTATGGGGTGTTGTGGTCCCTTGAATTTGCATCCCCTGCTAGAATGCAGCCCCGAAATTTGTTCGATCAAAAAATGGTCCTTCTTTCGACACCCTGCCTCATGCACAACACGATTGCACCCAATCCACAGATATACTATCCTAGTATCACACGCATTCATGCATGCATAATCATGCATACATGTATGCGTATGTACGTATATCTGTTTGTACATGTGCATACAAACATCAAGTCTTCGCTGTCGGCTGGCTTTTGTCTGGACAAGCAACTCTTTCTGGCTTGCTTACGGTCTGCCTTTCTGCTTTTGGCCTTTGTTCTGAGGCTGCCGTCTATTTGATGATTTGCATTCGCCGAGGGCGTGGCCAAGGGACGTAGGGGATAGGGCGTTCCTCATACTAATCATGAATATTGTGAATGACAGTAAGGCTGCAATTTCTTTGGCATCCATGGGATTCGCATTTGTATTGGCATCTTCTCACTCCACTTCGTGCGCACGACTACCTCCTGCGCATGCATGAAGAAGGATCCAGGCTGGTCCTAGTGGAGCGGTGATTCCACATACTATGATTTTGCTTTGTCATTACAAGGCAATACGTTTGCGTGATATAGCCAGATGGACACCCCACATACACCCAGGTCATTTTCTGTACGGAACCTGTATTCAGACTCACAACAAGCAGAAAACTAAACTGTACCTTTTCACTGCCGTGCTCTCTGTTCAGTAAAGTGAAGGCGGCCAAAAAATCAGTCTGAACTTTCGCCCTTCAACCCTGGACACAGCCCTTGAAACCTGGATCCCAGACCTCCAACTGCCCAAGAAAGCCATCGCTAGGACACCGACGCGCGAACACGCGAGCCGCCCTCGGCATTGGAGAGCCCAAGGCGTTGCTTCGCATACTTCGGGCATTTCGGATTCAGAGTTCACATCCAGGGATTGCATCAGGGTATGTGGACGGTAGACCGTCTACTGCTCTTTTGAGATTTAGTTTGGTTCAGCCTCCGGCGTCTGTGCCCCCGTAGGATTTCTTTTGGGTAGCGTCTGATTCGCACAGCCATCTTCACAAAGCAATCACCTAGCAAGGTGCTTGCAATTCAGAATGCTGCTGTTTGAAAAAAACTTCCCCGAGTGAGCGGAACGCATGAAACGTAGCCAGCTTTTGATCTCCATAGTGTGGGTCCTGCAACCAAATATATATCGTGTGGTCCCAACAATGATCTGTGGGCCCCGAACTCTGCACCTGGCACCCAGAACCCTCAAACAAACGAACCTGTTGGTCTCTGCAGACTACTCGACACCTCACAATAGCTTCTGACTGTTGCAAGCCCGTAAGCTAAATATGCTGATCTCCAGCCCCGCGAGCGCCACGAATGACTCATGATACTTGCTACCCCTGCATCAAAGGATACTCATCCAGGACTGACGCAAATTCTCACAAAACATCTAACCTGTCTCCATGTTGGGGCCCAAATTCCTAAACGACAACACCCTGCCTGTAGATTTTATCGCTTGCATACTTGTATACGATGCCTACCACCACTTCCCCCACCTAGTGCCCCTGCTGGGTCCGAATCCTCAAAGGCCTTGACTCTTGTTACTCGGGAGTTACTGTAAGGTGAGTATTTGGGATTACCGTGCAAACTAGATCAATGCACAGACCCAAAGTGCCGCCCTTCCAAGGCATTTATGCATACAAATCATCCTTTGGGATGAGGCTACACGAGTTCGCCCTAAACCCTTTATAGTCCCCAGACCCTCATCCTTTTACCTTGCATCCAAATCGCTGGGAATCATGTAGACTATAGAGCCCTACATCGGAAACTCTAAGTATCTCTAAGTCATATCCCCTAACAGGTCCTCGGGAATATATTGCCCTGTCTGAGAGGGCGCACCATGGCCCCACTCGCTGCCGGTGGAAGCAGGCTGGTGGCACCTTCCCCCGGTCCCCGGTGGAGAGTTGAGGGCTAAGGGTTCCGGGGTTTAGGGTTTTCGGTTTGGGGCATGCTTGAGGAATCGAGGTTCCAGCTCGGAGTTCAGGGATTGAGGGTTTAGGGTTGAGGGATTGGGGTGGATTGGGTTGTCAGGCTCAGCGCCTGGAGCTTAAAGTAAAAAGTTGACCTCATTCTTAACACCCAGCGTGATTGCCAAATCCAAATCGTAGAACGAAGTTAACCCCTGCCCTTCATTGAAAGATCCAACTTGCCAGTACTACTACTGGCAAATACCACTCGAGCTCCTGGACACCCTTAACTGCAGAGGCTTGGGGCCACATCCACGCGGTTTAGGGATTGAGGGATGGATCTGGGGTCTAGGGTTGCTTTGAGGTTTTTGAGTTTACGCAGGACTGAGGGGTTAAGTTTTGGTCATCTAGGCGCAAGGTTTATGGTTTAGCGCCGTGGGAAGAATAATAGCACCAGTACGGGGAACACTGGCTTGAAACCCAAAAACATCTGAAATAGGAGAACAAAACAAGCACCCGTCTGTTCAGAAAACACCAGACCGTCACCAGACCCCAATCTGTAATCCCTGACTCTGACCCCCAAGACCTGAAACGCAAATCCTTGAGCTTTGCAGACTTAAGCCTGCATAAGCCATTTGTACATGTCCTGGTCTCAGAACTACAGGTCCATTTGGTACCAGTTGTGATGTCTTACAAAGTTTTGGGGTGCAAGAAGGAACCTCCTGTCCCTGCTCCTTAGACCCGAATTCCTAGTTCCCCCAAAATTGTAAACCCTAAGCCCGAATCCCAAGCCCGAACCCCAGATCTCAAGACCACCCCGCTTAAAACAAACGGTGTTGGTTGGGCCTTGGCCCCTGGCGGGCGCCGGCTTGGCCGGGCTCGCCGAGCGAGAGCTAGCTTCTGCAGCCTTGGACTACGCGATTTTGGTTACCCCCATGATGGAAAGTCCAATGGAAAGGAAAATGGACAACGATGTGAACAATTGGGTTTACAGTTTGTGGCTGTAAGTGTTTTTGGCTTAGAGGTGCCGGGGTTTTGAGGTCTAGGATTTCAGGGTGCACCGCCGTAGAGCTCTGGGTTTGGTCGGTCTCTTTATTTGTTTCCCTTTTGTTTACAAAAATGTGGTACCCATGCGCCATGAATAATTGAAGATCCCTTTCTCCATGTAGGTACCCCAGTCCACTAACCTGTGCTAGGCTTAGGGGCGAGAAATCTTGTGCGGCAGGTTAGTAGGTAATGTTTCGGGTCAATGAAGGGTTTAGGGTTGAGAGTTCAGGCATGAGGTTGAGTGGGTCAAGAGTTAGGGGCTGAGGTTGTGTGCTTGAAGTTCCGTGATGGAATAAGATCAACTGCAAGTTGAAAATTAGCACGCAAAACAGCTGCCATCATGGAGGCTGTAGCACACACATGAACAAATACTGATTCCACCACAACACTGGAATCACTAGAAATGTGACACTTCAACAGAACATCCTACTCATTGCAACTTTCAGGCATCCTTCTCACTCTGTTTACCACATATTTTCAGCAACACCATGCGTATTGCCACTGCTACTTTAATGACTGCTGTGACAAACTCTGGCAATGAGAGCGTGTTCAAGGGGTTGTGCTTCAAAGAGCTTTAAACACACCCACATCTCCAACAAATAGTCCTGAGAAACACTTGTTGCGCCTTGCTGCTTATAACAGAGTACTGCAGGAAAACCTCAAGACCACACCCCAAGACTGTGTCCCCGGCTGGCCCGGCAGTGGAAGAAGCAGGGGCAGATGGTGACCTCTTGGGAGGCCGTGCAGGACACTTGCTAAGCTACAAAAGGTTCAGGGAAGTAAAAATGGGTGACCATGGGTTTAGCTCCAATCCATCTTGGTACAAACGCTGGAGCAGCAAGAGCCAAGGCGGTTTCAAGGAGGGATAGCAGCCAAGCAATGCCAAAGACGTGACGACAGTGATCGTCACAACGAAAGAGGTGATGATCATACAATCAAGACTGGGCTTGGAAGGTCTGGAGGACGAGCTGCTGAAATTCCTGCAAAAGTAAAGGATCAAGTGCGCTGCTGAAGCTGGGGATGCAGGAATGCCATGGAATGCCTTGGGTTCGTGGGATATTCTTACACAAGGATTTTCAGCAGCAGGGTTCGGATGATTCTAGGGGTTGAATGTGAATGTAAAGACAGGTCCAGCCAATGGCAGGGCTATGACAGGGGCGGCGGATGGGTGACTGGAGGAAGGAAGTTGCTGTTCACGCGGACTCAAACATCTGCAGCTCACCTTAATGAATCCTCGAGATGCCTGGGATTTTAGCGAGCATTCTTCATATCAAGCATCAAGACGGTAACGTTGCAATATTCCCTGAAACACCCCTGTAGACCAAAATGATTAACACAGCGAAGCCCTGACGATAACTGAACACCACCTGGCTTAATGACAGCCACTCCAAGAAGCGCTAAACTCTAGTAAACCCACAAACTGGGCTCCCGAGCTTCTCCGGCTTGCCCTTCTTGGGCCCACGGCTGCGGCTGGGGCTCTTGGACTTGCTGCTGGTGGCCTGCTTGGAGGTTGACTTTTTGTCTTTGTGGGCTTAGTATGCTAGTGGATTTAAGGTGCAGGGGTATTGTAGGGCTTCTGGTGTTTGGGCTGTGAAGGGTTTCGGGTTCAGAGCTTGGCTTTGGGATGGGTACTCTTTGGGGTGAAGAGGGAATCAGGGTCCAGGGCCCTTCCAAGGTCTTGTCAAGATTAATACTGTGGATAGAGGCGTGATGATGCTACGGGTTTCAGTCTAGGCGCTGTGGCAGTTTGCACCTTGGACTTAAAGCCCGAAAGCCAGGGTCCTCAACCCCTCATCCCTAAGCTCTTGGCCGTAAGCCCTAAACTCTCTTCCTCTCTTGTCCCCGGCCTGATTGCCACGATCAGCAGTGGGATCACCTGGACTCATTACCTTAAGTTTAGCTTTTGAAGCTTTCAAGACCCAGGACTCAGGGCCTGGGGCTGCCTAGCTCGTATTTCTAGGTCGAACGGTTGCAGTGAAGGCAGCGGGGAACACCGTTTCTTAACACAAGTCATGCCCGCCTTCAGCCAGGCTACGCCACGCAAGCTTCAAGCGCGCACATATACCATCGCATGGCAGCTCTCTTAGCATTGCATCTGGACTGCGGCTAATCACGTAACTCGAAACAACCTGAATCATGAGGCCTCAGTTGAATTCTAACAAGGCCCCTTCGTGACCACCGCAGAAATGTTATAGAGCCTGCTCCCTTATTCCGGCGATGCTGGCGCACCCCATGAGTATTGAACCCTGGTCACGCCCGAAGCTGCACTCCCCTGTTATCGATTATTGGACGGTGCGCTTTCTTGCATCTTGCAAATACATGCATTTGCAGCAGTTGTTTTCCATGAAGGCTTCCAAATAACTCCTTGTCCATTCGGTGCCGCCGAGAAGTGACAAACCCATTATGTTGAGAACATCTTCGGCCATGATCCGTAGTCTATAATACTTCTTTGCTGAGTATAGGCTTCCCTCAAAAACCTGAGAACACCAAAAGGTATTTGCCCGTGTGAGAAACTTGTCAATGATTCCTATGATATCCTATTATTACCTGCGTAAGGGCCCCAGAACCAGCGTGACTTCCAAAACCATAGCCGCAAAGAGGACCCACAGCTTTGCGGAACTCTCACATCGCTCGCAGCCCTCGAACCCCTGACCCTAAAATCTGAAACCCTAAACGCCCAGCCCCTGAAACTCGTCCCTAAACTCTACATCTTGGTAGGTCTCATACAAATCAACGCTTTCCCAGAATCCTGTAGCATAGCTATAGTGAATCAGGATCTCCAGTTTCGCTCTCAGCTGGGCAGACTCCAGTACCAGCCTCCATTTCCCAAAGTCAGCCCTGAAAACCAATCCCTCA